GTTTAGTCCCCAGCCCCTCAGGAGAGGCAGGGAGGGAGAGTACGGGGAACAGGGGCTTTTCAGTCTCACACCCTGGGCTTGAGTCCAGGCTCCAATATCAATGGCTCTTTGAATTCTCACAGAACCTCTCAAATGGGCTAATAATCTTGCCCCTTAACAGTCTTGCCCCTTCACCATGAAGTTATGGTGAACTCATAGGTGAGAAAAAGCTGTGTAAAGTCCAGTGTGAATTATATTCGGGTCTTTCCCAGCTATGTTTCTGTAGGAAGTCTAAACTCAGCTTTATAATACTAACAGTAAGTGCTCAAAAATGTGAGCCATATGGCAGGCATGTGCTAGGAGCTTTAAACCCTTGATCTCATTTAGTTCCATCCTTAGGATGACCCCTGGAGGTGGTAGGTATTATAATCCCCTTTTTTACAGATGAGGAAACTGAGGCCCACAGAAGTTGAGCAGTTTGCCCTGAGGTCACACAAGTTAGTTGAGGAACTCGATTTGAACCCAGGCCAGGCCAGCTTCCAAGGCTTGTCATGACGGCGGCTTAGGTGAGAGGTCACCTGAGCCTGCTCCGTCCTGGCTGGGTTGGTCTGGTGGGCCTCCTCGGCCCTGCTGTTCTTGGTGGTTCCTGCAGCCACAAAGATCGCTCTGCTGGCTGGTCTCCTCTTCTAGGTAGTCTCGGGGACACACCCCTTCCCAGGAGTCTTCCATGGTTTCTGGGGACGCCTTAGCTCCCTTCTCTCTGTCACTGCCTGCACAGGTACCTAGTGCTTTACCTCACGCTTTCCTTTGCTGTGGCTGTTCCCACCACCTGAGGCATCCTGTTTCTGCTTGTCCTTTCTGCTGTCCTCACGTCTTCTCTGTACCTCAGACCTTCCTCATCTACAAGTCTCAGGTCTCAGCTCCAAGGTGACCCCTGTCATGAGTTTCTTCCGTAGGTGTTTATTCAGCACTGGCTCTGGGCCAGGCCTCAATTTGCTTCTGTCCTGGGGAAACGCCCGTCTGACGGGAGAGGCGCCTGTGAATACAGCAACTGCACAGCTTGGTCAGTGCTGTGATGGAGACAGCAAGGCCATGGTGACTGGGATACCCTAGCCCTCCCTGGGGAAGAGGCAGGGATGCGGGAGCTTGGAGAGGGAGGAGGAAGGACTCACCCAGCAGAGAGGCAGATGAAAGGGCCCTAGGCAGAAGCAGCAGCCACGCGGCAGGGGAACAGAGGTAGATGAGAGTGGTGCTCTGAGGAACCTCCTGTGGTTGAGCTGTGGGGAAGCTGCTGGGAGTTGTGGCAGGAGCAAGAAGCAGGGCCTTGATCCTGAGAGCAGGAGGGAGTCTGGAGCAGCGGAGCTGTCTGATCAGGCTTACTGTTCAGGCAGGTCTGTGTGGTCCTGGGGGACAGAATGAAGTCCCATGGTGGGAGGAGTTACAAGGACTGGACCTCGTTTCTCTGCTAGGCAGGACACAATAAGTTGTGATCGTGGAGTCAGTGGATCTGCTTTTTGGGAGGATCCATCTGGTGCTGTGTGGAAGCCAGAGGGCGGTGGAGACTGGAGGCCTGTGAACAGGCTCTGGAAGCAGCGCGGGGCCCAGCGTGAGTTAGGGCGGCGGGGTAGGCTGAGAGCTTCAGGGCTTGGATCCCTGGGGGAGGGAGGAAATCCTGGTCAAGTGTGTCAGTGTGGAGTTGTGGTCAAATTGCCTAGGAGGAGCCCCGGCCCACGGAGGCGCATACTAACTCTCAGCTACGTGACCCTGGACCTGCCTTTCCTTCCATGTACCTCAGTCTCCCCATCAATAAAAGGACTGGGCAAAGTGGCCCCTCCTGCTCTGACCAGCAGGTCTGTGGCATGGCTGGCCCAGGACGAGGGACACAGAGCCCATGGGGTAGCCAGCTGAGGCATAAGCTGGGATTATCAAATCTGGCCAGTTCTGATGTGGCCAGGGGCCAGAGCCTGGCACGACTTCCTTCGGAGAGGGCACGGCTCTGACCCCCCCTTTGTAGTGGGCTCTGCCCTCCCTGTCAGCTGTTTTGGCTCAGCCTGCCTGGCTGCCCCAGGACCTGAGTCCGTCCAGGGCCTCCGCTCTCCCTGTGGCTGGCCCCGGGAGGAGTGGCCCAGCTCTGGGGCCCCATTGGCCAAACCCTCCGGGGCTGCACACTCCCCTGCCTCCCCAGCTGGCTGCCTGCCCACCCTGGGACGAGAAGGAGGCCTGGCCTGGCCTGACATGGGCAGGCTCTCTTGGAGCTAAAGAAGGAGGTGGAGTCTGAGAGGCCATGTCCTAGGCCACAGGGGTTGCTCTGTTCCCTCTGCGGGTGCTACAGTCTGGGGCTCTGCACCCCATTTTTTTGAGAGGAGTTGGGGGATAGCCATAGTGAAGCTTGTCCCGTACCTTGCAGGGGGTGAGAAGGTGGGAGCTCAGCCCTGCTCGGAGAAGCTCAGTATTTCCTGTCTGACAGGATGAACCAGCTCCTTAGCTTGCTCTTGGGAAATTTCAAAAGGGCATGCCTGAGCCCTGCAGCGTTAGATCCCAGAATCCTGGAACCAGGGCTGGGGATACCTTGGGGATTAGCAATCTCCCACTGCCCCTGCCCTCCTTAGGAGTGATGGAAGAGGCTCAGGAGGCGAGGGAACTTGCTCATGATCACATAGCACCCAATCGATGGGAGTAGGATTTGAACTCAAGTCTGTCTCTGCTTGTCCCTCTGCAAATCTTTGATGAGATCCTATTGCATGCCAGGCTCTTCTAGACATGAGCCCTAGAGGAGGAGCTTCTCACAGGGCTCGATTTACCTTTGCACTCTCAAGTGCCTGGCCCAGGGCCTAGCGCAGAGGAGGTGCTCAGTGAATGAATGAACGAATGAATGAATGAGGCAAAGATCCTGCCTTCAGGCATGTAGAGTCCATTGGGAAGATAGTGACTCCTTTTGGTAGAACTTGAAAGAGGAGGCAGGTGCTAGTGAGGAGTGACCAGGTGAGAAGTGGAGAAAAGACTGAAACTAAGGTGTCCTGACTGCTGGTCTAGGGCTTTTCTATCCTCACTTTCCTCATCTGTAACAATGGGGTCTGCCTTCCTTGTGAGGATCCAGTGAGGCAGTGGATGTGAAAATAGGCTCGTGAAGCAGGGATATCATGTGTACATGCCCAGAACTGCCCAGAAACCACACACGTCTGCTCCATTGCTTCTGCCTGCTCACGCTGTGCATCTTGCCTCCCCCGTTTCCCTAGCTTTCTCAGGCTTCTTTCTGGAATGTTCTGTGCAGAACCCCTGGCTGTGAGAGGGGTTTGGGAAGAGTGTGGGTAGAGCCTCCCCACTCTCCCATCTCCCACACCCAGAAAGGCAGCTACCCGCATCCACATCCACGCAGGCCCCCAGGGCACACCAGGCTGGAAATGCCTTGGCAGTGGTTACCATGGTGACATTCCTGCTTAGACCACAAGGCCTGCGAGATGCCTGCAAGATCCTGCAAGCCTGGCAGCCTGGCACCTCGAAGGCTTCTACCCAAGCTGAGAGCTCCTGGGACAGCTGCCTCTCTCTCTCTCTCCTTGGTGCCCGGCTCTGTGCCTGGTACCCAGAGGCCATTGGGAATGAGCTGCCTCTCTGGGCACCTACAAGCTGTTCTGGGTCAGACAGGCCTGGTTCAAATCCCCATTCTACCACTTATGAGTCAGCGACCTTGAACCAGTCATGTCAGTGTGTTTTGAATTTATTAAATTAGCTACAGAGCTGGATGGGGGAAACTATCTAAGGAGGACACCCCCCAGCACGAGGGCCGTCACAGCCCTGAGCTGTCAGTGCCCCCATCTGCAGCAGTGGCAGGGTCAGCACCAGGTCCTGGCACTCTTCGCTGCTGAATCCAGGCCCAGGCTCCTGACTTCCTCCTCCTCTCAGCCTCAGGAGCTCCTGCGGGCAGTGCACAGTGGTGGGTAGGACCTCAGACTGCAGCCAGACCTCTGGGGACACAGCTAAGCTTTGTCATTTTCGTGGGCCTCAGTTTCCTTATCAGTGAACTGGGGATAATAATGAATCTACCTCAAGGGCTTCTTGTGCAGATAAATTTGAGTTGGTACATGTAAAGTGCTTAGAAGAGTGTTTGATGTTTAATAAGTACTATATAAATGTTGGTGGCAACTGTTAACATTACCACAATCGGCATGTGCCATGAGAATCGGAACTCGTGCCTGCCCCTCCTGTCATTTTTCTCACACGTGCAGGTGTACCCAGCTCTTGTTCAGAGTCTAATTAGGGAGAGAGAATGGCAGGTTGGCACCATCTTCTCCATCCCACCCCATCCAAGGGACTGCTAAGCCCTCGCCACCTCTTCTGCCTGAGGACTAACAAAAGCTGTGCTCTGGGCAGAAGCTCCACCTCTGCTCATGAGTCTGAGGATTTTCTCAGCTGGTTCTCCAGCTGGCAGCTGCTGGAGCCCTGGCCTGGATCACACAGCTGCTCATACTGTCCCCAGCCCTCCAAGTCAGTAGAGCCAAGTGCTAAAGACAGATGAGCACCCAACAGAAGTGTCATCTGAAGAACAAGGAGTTCAAGGAAAGGGCCCTTGGGGATGAAATAGGAGCTGGTTCTTGAAACACTTGATTGGAAACAAATTCTCAGGCTTGCTGGATAGAGACTCACTAGGCCTCTGCACACAGAGGGGAAATCCTTCAGGCATGAAGGTCAATCAGGGGCAAAACTTTAAAACGCTGGCCCACAACCTGGAGCAAGGAGGACTGAATCCTGTCCATGATTCCTTTCTCCCCTACCTCTCTCTCTCATCCAAGGTCATGTTAACAGGGAGTTGTTGGCCAGAAGGAACCTGGGCACAAGAGTACATGCAGAGTGCCTCCTGGGCCCAAGCCATGGGCTGGAGCATGGAGACCACTCTTGGGGTTGGGGTCTGGTGGGAGGTGGCCCTGGAGGCTCTCTCTTCTCCCTCCAGCCCTCGGGTCTCAGGGATGGGCAGACCTAGGCAACCCTGCAGTGAGCTGATCTCTCTGGCCCCACCTGTTCCCCAGGGCTTCGCCTCTGTGTTCCCCAGTCGCCAGTCCCGGAAGTCAGAGTCACGCGCAAAGTTCAAAGACAGCGCCATGGCAGACGATGAGGGGTACCGGAACCCCACAGAGGTGCAGATGAGCCAGCTGGTGCTGCCCTGCCACACCAACCAACGCGGCGAGCTGAGCATCGGGCAGCTGCTCAAGTGGATCGACACCACGGCCTGCCTGTCTGGTGAGACCGCGACGGGCACAGCCATCCTCCCCACCACTGGTCCCACATACCCAGGGGAGAGGCCTCGATTTTTTGAGATTTTTTTGAGATGGTTGCTGTCTCCCTGAGTGCCACACTTGTCCCATATCCCAGCCTGCTTGCCTGCAGGGCCCTCTCCAATTTCTCGATGCTCAGCTGCGGCCTACCCTCTCCCCCAAACCCTCCAGCTCTGCATGCCCTTAGGTCCCTGCTCCAGCACAGCGAGGCCTTGCACATGGCTGCTCCACGACTGGCCTAGGAGTGCTGTGAGCAAGCACCATGCTGTCTACCTTAAAGAGCTCTCTGCATTGAGTGGAGTTAAACTCATTTCATTGCTCATGACGTCCCAGTCTTCTCCAACCCACAGGGAGCTCAAGTCTGATGGGGGAGAGGTGGGACAGACAGGTGGCCCAACTGCCTCCAAGCACTATTTTCTGGGGACTGGGAAAAGGAGGTGAAATTGGGGCTGTGAGAGAACAGGCTGTGGGGACAGAGAAAGGATTCTGGAGGGACTCAGGCATGTGAGCAGGTCCTGAGGGTAAGAATGACTCAGGCAAGCAAACAAAGGTGGGTGAAGTTGGCTGGGCAGACATGTGGGCACTCTAGAAGGCTGGGAAGTAGAATAGCTGGTGTGGCTATTCATTTATTCCACAGCTACTTATTGAGTGTCTACTACGTGCCAGGCACTCTTGTGGGGCTAGGGTATAGCAATGAACAAGGCAGGCAAAAGTTGTTGCCCTCAGGTAACTTTCATTTGAACAGAAGGGAGCGATACTGGATAGACAAAAACCAGATACAGAAAACAGGACACGGCAACCTTGAAGAAAAGTAAAGAAGGGTGTGGGTGGGGAGGCATGGCCTCCGTTCAGGAGGTCTGACATTTGATCAGAGGTCTGCATAACATGGGAGGCTGCTAACGCATGCTTTCTTCTCCTGATGCCAGCGGAGAGGCATGCTGGCTGTCCCTGCGTCACCGCCTCCATGGACGATATCTATTTTGAGCACACTATTAGGTAAGTGGCCCCTCCTGCCTCTAGGTACTTGTGAGCACCCACCACAAGCCTAGGGATCCCTCCACTGTCTCTCCTGCCTGGAACCTGATGATGAAGTGAGGGAAGTGTCTAGGAAGCAATGACCCACCTGCTTGGTCTCTGGGGCAGTGGTGGGCTGGGAGCTGACTTGCTGCTAGTTGCTGTGGGGTGGGTTCCCTCAACCTGGGTGGAGCCAAGGAAGTTGCCTCAAATTTGGAGTTGAATGCTGCTGAGGCAGCATCGTGGGATGCTGTGTGACTTTGGGAAAGCCCAACTTTTTCTCTGGAAAGGATTAGACTTATTCAGTGAATGCCTTTTTGATCTTGGGCATTTTCTGTGGGTCATTTGTTGCTGGACTCTAGGGAGTTCTCTTAGACAGAGTGCTTTGGCAAAGCCTGAGCCAGAAGCTTGGGTCATTCAGTGTCTGCTCACATACCTCCAGGGATGAGGAGCTCACTACCTCCTAGTTTTTGTTTTTTTAAATGCCTATACTAGTTAGAAAGCTCTTTGTTACACTGTGTTGAGCTTTATCTCTGCAGAGCTTTGCTGGGACCCAAGGTCCATGCCAAGCCCTCAGGCCAGAACAACTGTAGGGACTGCGTACAGTGCTCTTGCCTCTGGGCCTGCTCCTAAATTCTCCATCAGTGCCCAGAACATCAAGTGCCAAGGGCTTATTCAGGACTTGGTGCCCAGAGTGTTGTGGTTAAGGGAAAGTTTTGGCAGCTACTTACATTCATTGTTTGGCCAATCATCACTACTTGCACCTTTTCCGAGTCAGGGCCCCGGCTGGGTCTGTGGTACACAGTCACCTGGAGTGTAGTCCCTGTGCCCCAGGAGCTCCCAGGCTCCAGAGAGGCAGACGGAGAAACACAATAGCAATTCATAGGTGTGAGTTCCATGCTAATAATGATCTCTGACATATACGGGCTTTGTAAGACTTTTTCTAAATATGTTTTTATTTTAGAATAGTTTTCGGTTTACAAAACAGTTGTAGATAGTACAGTGAGTTCCATATACTCCACATCCTGATTCTCTATTAAAATTTTACATTCACATGGTATCTTTGTCGCAGCTGATGAACCAATATTGGTGCATTATTTGCAATGCCTTTTAAAATATGTTAACTTATTTAATCTGCAGATAAATACTATAAGGTCCTGGCTATTAGTATCCTCATTTTACAGAATTAGAAACTGAGGCACAGAGAAGTGAAATAACTTGCTTAAGGTCATACAGCTAGAGGAGGACCCAGGATATCCTACCAGGCAGGCAGCCCGGTCCCAGAGCACCTGCTCTTAACCAATGAACCATGTGTCCTATATGTCTCGGGGTGGGTGTGATGGCATAAAGGGTAATCAAGGGGGGCTTCCTGGAAGAAGTATTTGAGCTGGCTCCGGCACTGTCAGCACTAAAGGTAGTAACACTGAGGAACAGCAGAGTTATTCTGGGCCAGCTCTGGGTCTCTGCTGCCAACAGAGATTCTGGTCCTGGTCGCAGCTACAGATAGAGAGGACTGGTGGAGGAATGCATGCATAATGCATGGATCTGCTGTACGACCCAGCAGGTGAAGGTAAGTCTGGGCAGAGGAAGGTATAGGTAGAAGAGAGGATTCTGGGAAGGAGGGCAGTCTGGGGAAGGGTCTGGAACATGGTTGGTGGCCAGGAAAGGCTTGGCTGCATCTGAGAAAAACTGGAGAAGTTTTGTTTTGTGTTGTGTTTTTGCTTTTGCCATTTAAAAATATTTCAAAAAGTATCTCTGAAGGGTAAGAACTCTTTTTAAACTTAACTTCAAGACCAAAACACAATTAACAGTAATTTCTCACGTACATCAACTACCTAGTCAGCATTCAATTGCCCACACCGTCTCATGAATTTGTTTCTATTTTGTTTTGCTTCACAGTTATTTTTGTTGTTCAAGTCAGGATGCAAATAAGGTTGCAGTTGGTTGATAATGTTTCTTAAGTTTAAAAAAAAAATCTGCAGATGTTATACTTTTCCCCAACGTTCTCTTCCCCTACCATCTCTCGCTCTCTCTCTCTCTCATTGCAATTTATTTGTTGTAGAAACCTGGTCATTTGCCATCTAGAATTTTCTGTCATCTGGGTTTTGCTATTAGTATCCCTGAAGTGTGATTTAATATGGTCCTCTGTCCCCTGAGAGTAAATTGGTCCTGGGGAAGGGCTTGAACAGGAGTCAGATTTGTTTAGGGACGCTGCCTCGCTGCCAGCCGAAACCTGGACAGGTGTTGGGGCTTAAGGAGACCCCCAAAGAGGCTGGGCAGTGACGTTGGGGAAGGAGCCAATTTCAGCCTCAGCTGTGGGAAGAAGGACAGTTAAGAAGGAAGCGACGCTCGGGAGTCCAGATGGATGTCTGCAGGGCTTTTGGGCCAGAGAGGAGGAGAAAGAGGAGCGCAAGGATGAGGGGGTAGGGTTAGGGGAGAGTCACAAATTTCTTTCTTTTTAGCACCACAGAAAATAAACTTTTATTTTTATTTTGAGGGCAATAGAAGGTTTCTTCTATTTATTTTTTTTATCATGAAAACTTTCAAAATCCTAGAAAAGTTGAATAGTGCAATGATCACCATCACTGAGATTCAATAATTAACATTTTGCTAAATTTACTTTATCTATATATGGGTAAATAAATATATATTCTTTCTCTCTCTCTTTTTCCTGAACCATTTAAAAGTAAGCCGTAGACATCATGATACTCATCCCTCCGCATGTCAGCATGCATCTCCTAAAAAGGACAGTTCTCTATCTGACTGTTAGAACTGTTAAATGAAAGAAAAAAAAAAAAAAAAAAGAGCAAGTAAGCATAAGGCAGGCTGGGTGGCCCCCCAGAGATTCCGGTTGTTCGTCTGGATGTGGGACTCATCCCAGAGGGACAGGCTGCAGCGGGAAAGAGCAGGGCCAGAGCAATAAACAGAATCAGTCTAGAATCCTGGCTTTATCCATTTTTTGCTAGGTGACCATGGGCCTTACCCTCTCTGGTGTTCAATCTGCCCCTAGGCCTACCTGCCACACTTGTTTTGCTCAAATAAGGTCACGTACAGTGCCTGGAAGAGAGTAGGTATTCTTTAAATATTTTCATTTTCCTTCCCACCCTCTGTTTATAGCCCCTTGCTCTTAGTAGGTATGTCATAAATGTGGGATGTATTAATTTAGTAGGCTTCTATGTATGGAGGTCCTGCCCTGTGCCCTGTGCTAGGCCTTGCCCCAGCGGAGCTTCAGGGTTGTGGGGAAGACGGAGGTCAGTCTGCTGCAAGAAGTATTAGGAAGGTGAACCTGGCAGAGCTACAGTGGGGCAGGAGGGCTTCCCTGAGGAGTGGAGTGGTAGGCAGAGAGCACAACGAAGCCTGAGCATTCATTGGACAGTGGAGAGTGGGAGAGAGGGAGCTGATGAATGAAATCATGACACTTCTCTCAGCCGCAGCCACCCCTCCTGTACAAGTGGTGCTAACACTCATCTTGCCGGCTTGCTTTGAGGACTCAGGTGACATCCATATGTGAATATGCTATGTAAACTGACATTTTCCTGCCAGTTCACCTTAGAAGAGGCCCTGCAAGTGCCTGGGGCCTCTGTTCGCTCTCTCTGTCTCCTATGGAAGGCTCACTTCCTGCTTTTCTCACCCAGCGTTGGACACGTGGTGAATATCAAGGCTAAGGTGAACCGGGCCTTCAACTCCAGCATGGAGGTGTGTGGGGCAGGCACCGCCTGGGGATGAGTGGGTGGGCTTTCTACCTCCTCTCCACTCTCAGCCCCCAGCCCAGGCGCACTCACACTTGAAGCAGTAGAACTCTAAACCAGCTGGCAGGGCTGGGAGGACCTTCCTGTTCAACACCCCATAACACAGAAGGGAAAACTGAGGCCCAGGGAGGAAAGGGGTTTGCCCCAGGCCACCAAGCCACATAGATCCCACTGTGGCACTTGACTTTTAGCCTCCTGGGTCTTCACGCCTAGCCTCAGATCCTGTCTTCAGCAGCCGGGTGGTTGTGGAAATGCAAGAAAGACAGCTGCTGGGCCTGACCCTGAAGGCCGTGGGGCTGGAGCGGGGAGAACACCAGACTTCAGTCCTTAGCCTACCTCCCACAGACTCTGTTGCCCCATTTATAAAGTGGGAGCATGATTCCTATGCCTCAGGGCCGCTGAAGGACTCTTGGTGATGCACACGGCTCAGTGAGCTCTCGGGTAGAGACTCTACCACCCATGAGGGTCAGATTAGGAGGCTTCACCCAGCTGGCCAGTGGTTACTGAGGGACCACTGGGGCTGAGATAGCGAGCCTCATCTGTACCTCTGGGCCCCCTGTAAATGCCCAGGTACCCCCAGGTATCCCCACATGTCCTTCCTTTCCATTTAGCCAACAGCTACCTTAAGCCCTTTCATGGACACAGTCTCATGTTAATCCTCTCAATTGCCATGCAAGGGTGGGTATGATCATCCTTACTTTACAGATGAGGAAACTGAGGCCCAGAGAAGGGAAATGACTTGCCCAAAGTTTACCAGGGAGCCAAAGGCAAAATCAGAACCTACCCAAGGTCTCAAGCCTCCTAGACGTGGTGGGTCTAGGAGAAATACTAGCAGAGCCCAGGCCTCGGGTGGGACTTCCTATCTCATTGGGCTGTGGGGCTTCAGGTTTGTGAGCTCTGTTTATTCCCTCCTCACTCCTCCACCTGCTCTTCCTCTCCAGGTGGGCATCCAGGTAGCCTCCGAGGACCTGTGCTCTGAGAAGCAGTGGAGCGTGTGTAAGGCCTTGGCCACCTTCGTGGCCCACCGCGAACTCTCTAAGGTAGGTGGCTACACCTGGCTGCTTGATACTGCTGGGCCGCCTGGCCACCAGGCATGGTAGGACCGGACCAGCGTGGTGAGGCTGGGGTTTGGCAGAGGGGTGGGGGTGGGAGTGTGGCAGGGAATCTGCAGCCCCTAGAGGAAGGCCCATCCCACACTGCTACCCAGCCCCAGACACCCCCCTCTCTTCTTGCCCACCTCTCCCTGTGTATCTCACATGAGGATTCTTTGGGCCTCACCATTCTCTTTCATGTCCTGCAGTGACCCCTACCCCCATCCTTTGTGCCTTTGCCCCAGAAGGGAGACTGGGGTCGTTTGGAGGATGTATATGGTGCATCTGTCAACATGGAGACAGGAAAATGTGGACAAAGAGGGAACAAAGACTTGTAACCATCTAATAGCCCCAGGCATGAGATGGCGGCTGAGGAGACAGGCCCTGGCACTATTTCAGGGAACCTGTCCCGAGCATCCCTCATCCCATGCCTGCCCGCAGGCAAAGCTGAAGCAGATCACGCCTCGGACAGAGGAGGAGAAGACTGAGCATGGTGTGGCAGCTGAGCGCCGGCGCATGCGGCTGGTCTATGCTGACACCATCAAGGACCTCCTGGCCAATTACGTCGTTCAGGATGGTGAGTGGCTGGGGATAGGATAGGCAGCTGGTGTTTCCTCTCTGCCCTGGGCCCCCACTGGGCAGAGGGAGAAAAGGCATTTCTTTGGGATGTCTACGAACCGACGGCCTCAGGCCTGGCTGGCCCTCTTGTCTCAAGGTTTCCTTCAGTGAAAGGGGAGTGCCTCTTCCCCAGCTCCCAGCAGCCATGAGGAAAAGGCTTTACCATCCACAGATGCATTTGGGTCTCTAGGATATAAGGTATTTGGGAAGGTTGTATTGAGGTTGGACTTGAAGTCTCTAGGTAGGTAGGTAGGTAGGTAGATAGATAGATATAGATGCATGTATATGTATAGGCATAGATACAGAGCTAGAGATAGAATAAAAAGCAAGACTCTTGTACCCTAGAACCTAGGACCCGTCCAGAGACACCTACTGTTGCTCATTTTTGGGCATCTTTCCAGAGTCATTCCCTGCATGCTTAAGCTCCCTCTTTTACCCACAAGGGAATATGTAGTACATACTGTTCTGTATCTTGCCTCTTCCTCCTTAAAAGTACATCTTAGAGATTGTTCTGTACCAGCACACTCAGATCTACTGAGGACTGATACGATTTTGGAGAGGATGCGGAGCCTTCCTTGAAACTTAAAGGAGGCAGTTTTAGGACAAGTCAAAGATAGTTCAGCTGCCCAGAGTGGAGAAGGGTGAAACTAGCTAGCTATCCCCAAAGAAATCAGTGGGCTGTGCTTCTGATTTTGTGTGCCCTGTTTACTCTGGGCCTGGGGGCTGGGGATGGACAGGTTCAGCTCTCCCTGCTGTCGTCCAGGCCCCCTGCAGGCGTCCATCCCCTGCAGCCCTCCTAAATCCCTCCGGTCCTGTCAGCCTTCTGCCCCAGGGTCAGTCCAAATGCCCCAGGCTGGCATCCAGGCCCTTGGCTGACTGCTCGGTCTCATCTGGTGCTGTCCCTTACTTGCCCTCTGCTCCAGCTAAGCCAAGACCTGGCTGCTCCCCATGACTGTGACTGTCCTGCCGTCCTGCCTCCAGACCTTGGCTCAGGCCTGTAGCCTCCCCTACTCCCTGCTTCTGGCATCTCTGAGCAGCCTGCAAGTCAAGCAGAATGTTGCCTATTTGATAGGCCCTCGCTGACGAGGCCTTCCCCCAAGGGAGATGGGACTCTCTTGGGTTGGGTGGGGTATGTCAGTGTCTGATTCCCTGACCTCTCTGGCCTCTCCTACTGAGGATATCCTAATGCCGTGGCCCTTGAGGGATAGGGCATATCAGGGCAGCGGGAGGGAAGAACTATCCTTTTTGAGAATGTGCCTACTGAGTTTGGTGCCAGGCACTCTAGAATTGAGATTGCGTTTCCTCTTCACAGTCCTATTGGGTTGGGTTTGTCATCTGCCCTTTACAGATGAGGAAATTGAGATTCAGAGAGCTTACTTGACTTGCCCAAGGTCACACAGCCTGTATGGGGTGGAACTAAAGTACAGACCCAGGTGTGTGTTGTCTCAAAGCTAGTTTCTGCCCCCTGCTCTGCGCCAGCCAAGTCTATCTCTGGTTTCCTCTCATTCCTCTTGTAGGTTCAGCACACTTGGTGCTGAGGAAATAAAATAACGTGGGTGGGGTGGAGCAGTGGGGTCCTGCACTGCCCATGGTGAGGCTCTGCCTTGAGAAACTTCTCACCTCCCCTCTCGCCCCTTCTGCCTCTCCTTGGCCAGATCTGGAGAGCAAAGACTGCAGCTACATGGTGCCGGCCGAGAAGACCCGCGTGGAGAGTGTGGAGCTGGTCCTGCCCCCACATGCCAATCACCAGGGCAATACCTTTGGGGGCCAGATCATGGCCTGGATGGAGAATGTGGCTACCATTGCAGCCAGGTGGGGAAGAGTGTACTGCTTCCGCCTTCCTTCCTTTCTCCCCTTCCTCCCTTAGCCAGCTCCCTCCGGGGTAGAAACCCTAGCTTGGTGTTGGCATTCAAGGCTTCAGGAGCTTGACTGCTCTGTTAAGGTAACCTGAGACATTCAGGCCACAGAGAACCAGAGAGAAGCAATTTTTCCTGAGCTGGCCATTCCTTCTTTGACTTAAAAAGCCCTGCACGGGTGGGCGGCTTTCTCCATGGAGCACACAGGCCTTTTCTCACCCCCGTTTTTCCCCAGGGCATGCTGTCTTTGGCAGAGCACTCCTGTGCCTCTCCTCCCTCTTCTGTCCCTCAAGGCATTTATCTTCCTTCCTCTTTTCCTAAGCTCCAAGGGCCCTTCAACTACCTCTGTAACTTTCTAAATAAACTTTCCCTTACAATTTGGGGGGAAAAATAAAAGCCCTTCATGGTTCTCATTTCCTGCCTGGGAAATACCAAGTCCCTGGGCCTGGTACCAGGACCTTCCCTTGACCTGACCTTGCATCTGTCTTCCTGTATCCTACACTCCCTGCAAATCAAGCCATTTGCCCTTCCGCTTCTCATCCTCCATGTTCCCAGTGCCTTTGCTCCTGCTCTAACTTCCTACGATGCCACCCTTCTACTCGTTGTTTGCTAAAATCCTGCCCACCTCCTCCATGAAGCCTCTCTGATATTCCTTTCTCCCCAGATGTGAAGCACTCTTTCTTTCTTTTATAACCTCTGTGCCTGTCTTGGGTTCATTCTACCCTAAATATCAGGGTATTTTTATAGTTAGGGTAACTGACATTCACTAAATGACCTTTGTGACTTTGAACTTGCTATTCCTCCTGCCAGGAGTGCTCTTCCCAACCCACACCCTCCTTAGACAAATTTTTCCTCACTCTTTAGAGCCTTGCTCCAGTGGCCCCTCTTCTGTGTTTAATGGGTGGGACACAATGCATAAGCAATGCCCTTTTGGATAACCTAAGCTATGAGCGCAATAAGATCTTAGAGGACAGTCAGAATTGGGATAGTCAGGGAAGACTTCCTGGAGGAAGAGTATTTCAGCTGGGCCTTGAGTGACAAGTAGCTTTGGGTAAGGGGAGGGCTTCCAGGTAGAAAGGACAGCAGATGCTAACATATAAATATCAGAAGGAAAATGGGGCTAGGATTACCCCAAGCCCTGCCCGAGGCTTTCTTCTGTCACCTCAAACTCAGCTGCTCTCCAGCCATGCACACAGACCTCCTCAGTATTTTAGGCTCTGAAATGAGACTTAGTTCTCTTCCTCTGGGCAGAACAGTCACTGGGTAGGAATGGGCGGGCCTGAAGGTGGTGCATGCGGTTTTGGCTGGGTCTGGAGATTGGGGTAGAGGTCAAGGCTGGCTCAAACCAGTGGCTGAGGCACCTGGGGTATTTCTCCTGTCTCCCCAACCCCTGGTCTCCTCCAGCCGGCTGTGTCGTGCCCATCCTACACTGAAAGCCATTGAAATGTTTCACTTCCGGGGACCATCGCAGGTTGGGGACCGCCTCGTGCTCAAGGCCATTGTGAACAACGCCTTCAAACATAGGTGAGGGCCTGGAATGGTCAGGACCGGGGTTCTGGGGGCTGAGGGCTCTTCCTGACCAGAGAAGGGACCCTACTGCACACCTGCCAGGAACCCTCCACCCTGCAGATGAGGTCTAAATTCTGCCCTGCTGCTGGGTCCTTTCAGCTTCACCAAGATTCAGCTCTGATGTTCCCTCCACTGGGTCCCCTCGGATTGTACCACGTGTTCATTATGTCTCCCTCCCTTCGGCTCCTGCCCCTGTTCCTGCTGCGCTGTGGATCCCAGGGCCGCCTCTTGCCAGCATTCTGTTGTCATCAAACCCCTTCCTACCCTTTGCCTGAAACAAAACTTAGTCCCCATAGTCCTTACCTTTGAAGTGCATCCTGATACCTACTCCCATGAAAGTTTACTTTAAATAGCTATCTTTTTTGGTGATTTCAAAGATCACAGTGTAGTCGATAAAAGTGAAAGATCTGGAGCCAGGCTGCCTGCGTTCAAGGATGGCTCACCTCTTACCAGCTGTGTGACTTTGGGCAAATTACTTAACCCCTCTGAACCTTGGTTTACTCACTGATAAGATGGGGCTCACCACAACGATCTTATAGTTTTAAGGACCCAATGACATGTTACTGCTACCGTGCCAGAGAAATGCTCATTGAAGGCCAGCCACTGCCACGGCTGCTGCTGCTGCTGTTGTTATTATTATTATTCAGTCTGATCAGCACATATTCTGCTGCCATGAACACGGAGCTGTGAGACCTAGTTTCTAGTCCAGATTCTCTTCCTGACTATTGTATGACTTTGGGCAAGTTATTGCCCTGTTTAGGTCTTGGTGTTACCGTCTGTATAATGTCTACATCCTGGGATCAAGACCTTCTTAAGTGAGGGGGATAGTGGTGGCTGCTATTTTATGATTAATAAAGATAGTGAGCTATACAGAAATAGCAGCCACTGAGCTGTTGGAGTGCTGGTGATTGTATAATGAACATTTTTTTCTAGGTTGGCTCTGTACCTCCCTCCACCTCCTTGCTTATGTTCTTCTATAACATTTTCATAACATGCTATCATTATATATCTTTTGTGTGTGTGTGTGTGTGTGTGTGTGTGTGTTGCTACACCCCCAACTGTTAGCCCACAAGGACAGGGGCGCGACAGGCTTATTCATTTCTGTGTTCCCAGTGACTGGCATAGGGCCGTATGCAGTAGGTGCTCTGTAAACACTGATGAAAGGGAACAGTTCTGGGTTTCCTGCCAAGGGGGCTCTGGTCCAGGAAGAACTGCAGGAGTGCATGCGTGTGCACGCACCTGCGTGGGTGCATGTGTGCTGGGGAGGGGCCTCAGGAAGGTCTGACCGTCATGAGAGCAGCCCTCCCTCCCTGCAGCATGGAGGTGGGCGTGTGCGTGGAGGCCTACCGCCAGGAGGCTGAGACCCAACGGCGACACATCAACAGCGCCTTCATGACCTTCGTGGTCCTGGACGCAGATGACCAGCCGCAGAGGCTGCCCTGGATTCGGCCCCAGCCTGGGGTGAGTGGGTGCAGCACCCGACCCTTCCAGCAGCTTCCTTCCCTCTCTGCCCAGGGTGGGGGTGCCTGCCTGTGACGCCTGGAGAAGCCCCTTGGGCCTGGCGGGAAGCTTGTTCTGTCCGAAAGAATTCAGATCACACCTGTGGGCCTGGGTCATACTGGGTGTTGACAAAGTTGGAAGAGCCCTGGCTTTGGGGTCAGATGAGGGTGGGAACCACCTCTGCTATGTTCTAGTGGGTGCCCTCTGTGAGCTTTCAGTCCCCGTCTGTAAAGCAGGTGTTCCTGCAGCCCAGGTGTCACAGGGTTGTGGGGGTCTATGGGCTGTTGACCCTGTGCCTGGCTAAGGCCTGCAGACACTCAGGAAGTGGGGACCGTTATGATGGTGACAAGAGAGCAAGGAGACAGGGATGAGAGTCAGGGCTTTGGTTCAAAGGCCACCCCTTACAATAATGCTCCCTTGTGCCTCCTAGGCCTGGCTTGCTTGTGGAGCGCCAGGGAGTGACCCTGGAGAGGCCGTTCCGTCTCTCTGGCAAGGTCCCTGCCCTGCCCGCCTGCCCGCCTGCCTCACAGGCTAAGTGTGGGCTGTGAAGTTCCCTGCTCCATAGCTGGGTATTGGGCAGTCAAGAGTGGGTGGTGAGGAGAGGCGAGAGGAGGCGGGGGGAGCCTGGCAGGTGGGCAGTACAGTGTGGAGTCCCTGGGATGCCTTCCAGGCCTTTGCCGTTCAATGCTCATGAGTCAGGACACAGTAGAAGTAGTAGTACAGAGGGCAGGCTTTGAGTCAGGCCATCAGGGTTCTGTTCCTGGCTCCACTCTACCCCTGTGACCTTGGGCAAGCCAGTTAACGGTTCTGTGCCTCAGTTTCCTTCTCTGTAAAATGAGGATCATACTAGTCCCAACCTCAGAGGGTTCTGTAAGGCTTAAATGCAATTTTGCATGGAAAGTGCTTTAGAATAACACCTGGTTCATTGCTACTGCTCAATAAGTGTTTCTTTTTAAACAATTAAAACATTTTATTTATTGATTTAGAAAGAAAAAGGAAGGGAGAGGGAGAGAGAGAAACACCAATTTTGTTGTTTCGCCTATTTGTGCATTCGCTGGTTCTTGTATGTGCCCTGGCCCAGGATTGAACGTACAACTGAGGTGCATCAGGATGGTGCTCTAATTGAGCCGCCCAGCCAGGGCAATAGATGTGGTTTCTTATTACCATCGTAAGTGCCCTTAGAGATCCCCTTCTACCAAGGGGGAAACTGAGGTCCGGTGAGAGCAGGTAGTGTTCCCAGAGTCGCTCAGAGAGTCTGAGGAGAAGCCGGGGCTGGAGCTCAGTGGCCTGGCACTTTCCTGCCCAGGTTGCGCCGACTCCTGCTGCCCCAGTGCGGCCTGAATACCTTAGGGCTGCAGGGCCTCCTTGGGCCCTTGGTCCGGGGTGGGCAGACACTACCAGGGGTAGTTGGTTGTCCCACCCGTATCATAGTCTGTCCCTGCTTCTCTTCCCCAGGACGGTGAGCGGCGGTACCGAGAGGCCAGTGCCAGGAGGAAGATCCGCCTGGACAGGCGAGTTGGGGCTGGGCGGTGGGAGAGGATACTGGGTCCAGGGCTGTCCACGTGCTCCTCTGGCCTCAGGGACTTGCATTTCTTTGATGCTGCCCCTGTGCTGGGCACTGGCTGGGCCCTTCACCTCCACGTAACCCCATTCCACAGCTGTCTAGCTGGCCCACTGTACAGGCGAGGACACTGATCACAGAGGGACTGTGGCCACGGGCACACACACAGGAATTATTAGCAGAGTGAGCGCTTGAACCTGGCCAGGTCTGGCCCGTTTTAAATCTTTTGTTCCTTCCACTGACTCGGATGCCCATTTGACAGACGAGGAAAGAAAGGCCCTGAGAGGAGAAATGATTGCTCAAGATGAAAACCCAGGCCTGAATGACGCTGCTAAGGAAGCACTTTACTTAAACTTAAAACTTAAAAGAGCTGAACACACACCAGAGGTCACCGTCACCATTTGTTGTTCCTAAGAACAGTTTGTTTATGGAGGATTTATATGCCAAGCACTGTTCTCGTGACAATCTTATGATATAGGTGTAACTACAGACCCCATCTCACAGATGGGGACACTGAGGCATAAGGGTGAAGCTGCTTTAGCTCAGCCAGGGTGTGGGGTACGGAGCCTTCACTGGACACCAGCAGCGTCATTGGCATCAGCACCCTCCCCCGGCCCGTCCACCTCTGCCTGAGTTTGTGTGTTCTCGCTGCTGTGTTCAGTGTCCCCATCCAGTTTCCTTGGGAAGACAGGAGTCGCCCCCACCTGCTTGCTGGGCTGAGCGCAGGGCCTGGCACACAGCTGGCACGAGGGAAGTCTGTCCAAAGAGATAGGCTCCCAAGGGATCAAGGTTGTCATCTTTTCTTTCTCCCAGGAAGTACATCGTGTCCTGTAAGCAGACGGAGATGCCTCTCTCTGTCCCCTGGGACCCTAGCAACCAGGTAAGGCTCTCGGCTCTGAGGGCAGAGTCCTTGGGCCCACTGGAGGCCCCCACCTTCCTATTGTCAGAGTGGGTTTGGAGGTAGGACTGAAGAGGACAGGGCACTAATGCCTGAAGGCTCATTCAGTTAGCAAAGGGCTTTCCTTTGTCCCTGTTTGGCAGGAGGGAGCTGAGGCCCTGAAAGGAGGCATGGCTTGTCCAGGGTTACTGGCCGAGTGTGGCCAGGCCTGGGCCTCCCTTTTTCCTCAAAGCCCAGCACCCACCCTCTTCCACAACCCAAGTTCTCCCCACCGTGGCCTTGGCACCGAGCCCTGTGGAAGGGGAGAAGGTGAGGCTTTTCTGTGTGCTTTGTCCAGGTGTACCTGAGCTACAACAATGTCTCCTCCCTGAAGATGCTTGTGGCGAAGGACAACTGGGTGCTGTCCTCGGAGATCAACCAGGTAGGTGCCCCCCCCCCCCGCCCCCCAGCTTCTCCTTGAGTAATCAGAGGTGGCTGGCTGCAAGCAACAGAAAGTCTCTCGAGTCACTTATGTCAAGAGGGGATGAGATCCTGAAGCCAACCCGGCCAAGGAAAATACCTGTCCTCACAGGGCCTGCAGCAGAGAACCGCCAAACCCTCCTCTCCTGCCCACCCAACTCCTTGCCCCCACCTCTCACCTCTGCTGCTCTGTGCCCAGCAGCTTCCTCCTTCTCTCTGCTCCTTCTGCTGTGAGTCACAGCAGGGATGGGTAGGGGCAGTGGACAACCATGGGCTGAGGGAAGACAAGCTCTGCCACTCTTGCCGGTGCCCTAGCACGGGTCCCTGCCCTACCCATGGCATTTCGGGGTTGGGTGGGCACCTGGCTCTGAAGATCTATTCCACTGTTGCCTCAGTCACTGCTTCTGTTTCTGTCCACTTGCGCTGAATTCTCCCAACATCTACTTTCATAGGGATGCGACTGAGGCTCAGAGAGGTTGAGTCACCTATTCGCAGTCACAGAGCAAGTCAGTGGCAGTCCTGAGCTTCCAGCCCTGGCCTTACAGGATCCCAGTCAGCCCACCCCACCCCCAGCCTAGTCTGGAGAGGGGGATGCAGGAATGAGGCCACCCTCTGTCCCATGCAGGTCCGCCTGTACACTCTGGAGGATGACAAGTACCTGTCCTTCCACATGGAGATGTCGGTACACGTGGATGCGGCCCATGCCTTCCTCCTGCTCTCAGACCTGCGTCGGAGGCCGGAGTGGGACAAGCATTACCGGTGAGGGCCAGGGTGCAGGTGGGGCAGGGTCCCTTTTCAGGCCTGGTGGGGAGGGTAGGCCCTCAGGTGTCCTTCTGCTGAGCTATTCCTTATTATGCTCAGCCCCAGCTGGCCTTTAACTGGGGTGGGTGGGGGACTTTAGTTATGTGTTAGGTGGGAGTCAGAGCCAGGGTTATTCTGAGCCTTCAGAGAAGGGACTGAGCCTGGAATTGAAGTTGGAGGCCTGGTCCTTTTTCTGGTCCAACTAGCTGTGTGACCTTGGGCAAGTTATCTTCTTTCTGGGCCTTAGTTTTCCTCCTCTTAAAATGGGTACTTAAGGGGTGGCTCATGGATTTACACTGAGGGATAAATCAGTGATTCTCAATCTGTGTTCTGTGGAATTTTATGTTCCCATAGGAGTTTCAGATGCTGCTTGGGGTGGGGGCTACAAGGCTAGTGGGTGGGACCCCCTCTCAGATTCAGGCCAACTGATAGAATGGCCAGTTTGCTGAATTTGCCATGTGTTCATTCTACATATGTATGCAAATATGTTATTTTTTAATGTAATGAATGACTGACTATAAATATTATTCCTATGAATACATTTGTTCCCCAAATTTACTGATTCTTCATATGAATATCTTCTTGCATTAACTCAAGGAGATATGTTCTCAGGAAAATAGCCAGAATTTCAGTGTTTAATATTGGAATGTTAAGTTGAAAGTGGTATTTTTGTCAAATCCCTTTGAAATAATTTTCTGTTATGCCAACACTATTTTGAGGGGGATGCTTCTTTGATCATTTCTCCAGTGGCTTATTATGAGGAGCATATATTCCTGAGTTCATCCATAAGGAGGAGATGTGCTTTTAGACATTCAGTGAGCAGGTCATTTGATTTTTGACAAATTGGACTTCTCCCTCCTACCCCCATGCGTCCTCACTTGAGCAGGCCCACTTGTAGCTGTCGATACGCGGGCTTCCTGCTTAAGATTTCTTTGCAAAATGGGCTGTGCTGCTTTCAAAAGCCCTGGTCTAGGTGGCCCAAGGCCCGCTGGCCGTGCCATCTGAGAGGCCCGAGAGGTGACTTGGTGGTGGATACTGGGGAAGCTGGCTATATTGTAGGAAGGCTTCTTGAAGGAGGCGGGCTGGTGTGGGCCTTGAAGGTCAGATCAGATTGTGATACTTGATGGGATTGGGAGGAAGTGGCCTGAGGGGAAAGAGAGCCCCTAGCTGTTTCTTCCCACTCCACTCCTGAAGGAGCCTCTGAGGGTGGGCAGAACAGCCAGGGAGAGGGTGGCAGGTCTAGACATGGTCATGTGTACCTCTGTGGATGGCCTCATGTGTGTCCGTGTGTGTGTCTGTGTGCATGTGATGGTGGTATAAGCCTACGTGAGTGTACGGGCACATTGCAGCTCTGCTTCCCTATTAGGTCTATGGGTGGGTTGTATCCCCTCCTCTATGAAATGGGGTTACTAAGCGTCCTTGCTACCTGGCTGATGTGGGATGAAATGCGTAGTACATGTGAAGCATTTAGAGCAGTGTCTGGCACACAGTGGGCGCTCACTAAGTGTTCCATACAACCAGTAAATCATCACACCTGTGTGGGCCGTGTGCACCTGCACAGATATCCCCAGACATGCATGGGTCTGTGCGTGCACAGTGGGTGTCTATCCATGTGCCTGTGCATGGAGGTATGCCCAGGCGCACTGTGTCTGTGCATGTGTTCATCTGTTCCTGCACCTGCACCTGTGTATTTGCTTGTGTGTGTTCGCATGCACATGCACAAATCTGGCCCAGGCCATCCTATATTCCTGTAGTCCTTGCTGAGCTATATAGGGTCTGAAGTGTCTTCCAGGCCTTGACTCATGGAGAGCTGGACCAGACCTGCTCTCCTACAAGGAGCTGGTGTGACCCTCTCAGACCCTGAGCTCTGGGCCTCCCCACAGGAGCGTGGAGCTAGTGCAGCAGGTGGATGAGGACGATGCCATTTACCACGTCATCAGCCCTGCCCTCGGCAGTGACTCCAAGCCTCAGGACTTTGTGATCCTGGCCTCCCGGCGGAAGCCTTGTGACAACGGGTAGGTGCCTACCTGCTGGGGTAGGGGGTGGACAGGGATCATCTCCCTCCCCAGGGAGGGGCACATCAGCCTAGAGTTGCCTCTGGGTTTCTTATTGGCTCTGGGACCCTAATTACCACTTGGCTTTTCTGGGCTGCCATGGGTAAGATGGGATCAGGGGCACATCTCCCTCTGGTCACTCATGCTCTAAAGCAGGGTAGACTCTGACCCTGAGGTGGCAAGACCCTTTTTCACATGGAGTCTCCTTGGCCTCCATCCTCTGACTGCCCCATGCTGGCTGAAGGGTGGCTTGTCTGCCAGCTGTGCCTTGGTGAGGATGCTGGGACAGACGGCCTCAGTTCTGCTAGAGACAGGCACAGAAAGGTAAAGCATGAAAACCCCAAAGCCCACTACTCCTTCCTAAGGGGCTTTTCTAGAAAATCTGTCCTGGACTCATGCTGGCTCCTGGTGAATTCAGTGTTGTTAACACACAGGGGCCTCCTCTCTTCAGCTCACGGCAGCCAGGCATGGGGCCTTTAAGAGTTTACGTCTTTAGACTCTGATGTCAGTGCGGAGGGAAGCCCCAGAGCCTGGGTCAGTGCTGGAGGCGGGGTTCCAGAGCCTGAGCCCGGCGGCCGGACAAACCCAAACCCTCACCTTCTCCTCCTCTGCCCATCCCCGCTCTCCCTCTGCTCCAGGGACCCTTATGTCATTGCACTGAGGTCAGTTACGCTGCCCACGCACCCTGAGACGCCAGAGTATAGGCGTGGGGAGACCCTCTGCTCAGGCTTCTGCTTCTGGCGCGAAGGGGACCAGATGACCAAGGTGAGACCCAGGGTCCCCTTCTCCCCCAGCCCAAATCCACATGCATGTACAGCGCTCAGCACTGTTACACAATTTGGGCCCTGGGCCCCTACTTCCACCTGCCTGTGGGCTCTTCAAGCTTGGGGAAGCCTAAGAATGTCAGGGACCAGAAATTTAGGCTTTGTTAAGATTTAATCTGTGCAGAGAAGTTTGAGGCCACTGCAGGGTCTTGGGAAAAGCTCTGGACGCTGAGGGCAGAAGGCCTAGGTTTGGACCTAACATTCATCTTACTGACTCACATACCCTTCCTTGTCTAGGAAGGCTTTATGTGGTTCTCAGGGCCAATCAAACTCAGCAGAGCAGTCGGTGTTGAAAATGTAGGGGAGGGGGATGAAAATGAGCAAAGGTAGGTATCCACAGCTTCCCTCCTTGGCTCATAGCTGTGGTTAGGGCCCTGAGACTTATCAAGTAATACACTTAGCACGTGAACTCCTCAGGACAATCCCTGGGATTAGTTGTAACTTGTCTTCAAGGCCTTAATAGGCCTTCATTTAAACAGGATTCTGTGTTGGGCTCTGGAAACCCAATCCCTGTCTTCTAAGGTGTCCCAGCTGGCAAGGGAGATCCCCTCTCCCCATCACAGTGCAATGTGTGGTGACAAGGAATCTAGGGTCAGGGGAAACCTGCCTGGGGAGGTCACACCTGCCAGTCATGTAGCCTTCTAAGACCCCAGGCTGCTGCCCTCAGCAGGCAAGCAGGGCCGACTCCCCACGACCCACTTGGCTCCCACCCCTCCCTAGCCAAGCCCCGCTGAGTGTGGCTTCCTGTCCTGTAGGTATCCTACTACAACCAGGCCACCTCAAGCTTTCTTACCTACGTGACCACCAACGTGGCCGGCCTGTCCTCTGAGTTCTACAACACCTTCAAGGCCTGTGAGAAGTTCCTTCTGGACAACCGAAATGATCTGGCCCCCAGCCTCCAGACCCTCTAGCACCCTCAGCAGCTGCCTCACTCCCACTCCATCCTGCCAAGGACACGCGTGCAGTGCCTCAAGGAAGGCAGAGGCATTTATTTCTTCCCATGGGAAGCCTGACCCAGGGGTCCTCCTGTGCAGCACTGTGGATGGTCAGTTTCTGCCAACACGCGCCAGCAAGTCTTCGCGGTAACTCTGGGGCAGCCTGTAGTACACCCGGGTCCTGTCCACGGCCCTGGCTGCCAGCAGCACTGTCCTCATAGGTTTATAGCCGGCCTCCACAGGGCTGTACTCCACGGTGACGGTGGCCCGGGGAGAGGCTGCCAGCAACCTGGCCACGACTCCAGCCGCACTCTGGCCCAGTGGCCCAGCCTGCAGCTGGAAGGACACAGGTTGCCAGAGGCCCTGGAACAGCTCCAGCATATCTGTGACCAGCTCTTCCCTGTAGCCACTGTCTAGTACCTCCTCGGGCCAGCCCGGTGCCACTGTCACATGGGGGAAAACCTCAGACACAGCTGTAAGCAGCTCCTTGCCGGCCACGTGGCCAGGCACTGCAAAACTCCCATAAGAGACTTTGGTCCCGACCCACACAGGCCGACAAAACACACCAAGGTCGGAGAGGTGGGCCAGCATGGCCAGGGATGGCCGAAGGGCTGCGGGCTCTGCGATGTGCAAATGGACTCCCCAGCGTCCAGGATGTGTGGCAAGCTGCTGCAGGCACGACTCCAGCGTCAGGACAGAGCCACCCGGGGCTTGGACGATGGGCACAGCGTCCCCAGCTGAAGGCTCCTGGAGGCCAACGGTCAGCAGGATCATGCCTTCTTTGTCTGGAAGAGGCAGTGGAGGCAGCAGTGACTGGGGTTCGGTTACCATGGGCTGTCAGAGCCTCTTGTAAAAGGGGCAGCAGGGGAGTCATGGGCAGCCAAGAAGGAGGAGCTGGCGCCTCCTGTCTGGAATTTGGGGACTGGGTCTGGGCTCCAGGTGGAAGAGCTGCTTTAGAAATAGGCCCAGGGCTCATAGGAATGACATGAGGAGCTCAGCTCTTGGCCCTTGGTAGTGGTTCAGCCATGGGTGCTCACAGCACAACGTGGCTAAGGGCTCAAGGGTGCTGGTCTGAAAGCCAGGAACTCCATACCCTTGGCAATGCTGTCCTCCCCCACCTCCTCGCTGGTGTGTTGTCATGGTAACAGAGTCCCTGCCCAGAGCAAAGTCAGGTCCCTGCAGTTTAGCTAGGAGCACAGGGCTGCAGGCAGACCTCACCTGGGAGTTGAACTGTTGCTGTGGTTCCGCTGCTCTGGATGTCAGGAACCTGCCATTCCACCTTCAGACCGTCAGCACCAGGGCGCTGCAGAAGAGGGATCAGGCTGCCCCCTGTGTAGTAGGTTATCTTCCGTGTGGCATTCACTGTGGGGTCCCAAATTGTCAAGATAAAGTGGCCACCATTTACAGAGTGCCTTCTGTGTGCTATAGCTATACATGCTTTCTGATCCTCACAACAACCTGCCAAGTGATTTCCCCTTTTGTAGGTTCCAGGAAGTGACTTGCCCAAGATCCTACAACCAATTGCAGAGTTGCTGGGATTGGAAGCACACGGAGCTGGGTTTGTCCCCAAAGCTGTTATTTTTTCCCCTCACCAAAATGGATCCCAGGGAAGGAATGTTGAATCTGGTGGGTCCCCTTTGATAATGGCTTAATTGCAGGCTCTCCTACATTTGGAGTCAAGGGAATGAGCAGTTTGAACAAGAGAACAGGTAGCACCTGGATCATTGATTAGCAGTAGAGGAGGGGGGTTGCTCACTGAAACACTAGAGTAACCTGCAGAGAAACTACGCTGTAAGGAATGGTATATGGGGTTTGAAATTTTCTGGGTTCCAACCTGAGCTGAGCCAGGTCCAAGCTGAATGACTTGGTATAAATCTCCCTGTTCCACCCAGGGTGTCCCCCTCCGATGTCCCGCCCCTCCAGCTCTGCTCCACTGTCCACCAGGTGCTGCCCTGTGCAGAATCCAGCCCACCATCCCTCCCCACCCTCCCAGACCACTCCCTACTGGCAAGCTGCTTGAACTTCGACAGAACAGGCTCGAAGAGGTCATAGTAGACTTGGTCGGTGGCACAGTTGTCCCGGAAGTAGAGGAGATCGTCCACTGACACTGGGTCCGCGGGGCCCTGCCACAGCGTCAGGCTGTACCTGGGGCACAGAGAGCAGGCTCGGCGTCTGTCTGGGCCCAGCTAGGTCCTCTGTCCCTGTACTCAGAACTGGACCCTAGCTGGGCAAGGGCGGAGCAGCTGACTTCCCACCAGCCCTTTCTTCCAGAGCACTACCCCCTTCCCGGGAGCAGAAGAAGCCACAGGGGCTTCAGGAATGATAACTGAAAGCAGAAGCGCAGAAGGAGGGAGAGGATGCCCATTTCCTGTTTTAGGAAAGGGTCAAGGACAGAATGGGGTGGGCACAGGGGATGGTGGGAGAGGCCAGGTGTGGAGGAATGGGGAAGGCCTGGGGCTCCTGTGGGGAGCTGCTGCAGGCGGGGCCGGGCAGCTGGGAGCAGACTGCAGGGTGAGGGACGACCCTGGGGCAGAGGCTGCAGGTACAATCTGTGTGGCCCCCTAGCTCGTTCCCATGGGAGGAAGCTGTAGGGAGACGAATTGTGTCTCAGCGTAAACTTAAACAAGCAGAGACTTAGTTGTCCACCAATGGACGGGCTGCCTCAGGTCATCATTAACAGCCTGTCACCAGCCTATCACCAGAAGTATATAAGCAGAAAGGGACCTCATACAGGATGTAAACACCTGAGGGGGTTAGCATAGAATCTTTAAGACCCTGCCGGCCATGAGCATGTAGGATCAGTGCCTAAGGGTGGGTTTGGCAGGAGCAGGGGCTGTGCCAGGGTGCTGGGAGCTTCCACCTGTTAGACTGGCCCAGCAGCCAGCTGAAGTGGGGCCAGGCGGCCCGCACCATGACGGCCCGCACAGGGAAGGTGACCCTCTGTGGCAGCGCTCCCACCAGCCCCTGCATCTTCTTCACCATGGCTTGGGTGTATGTGCTGTTCGGGAACAGGGGCACATAGAGCGTGGTCCAGCCTGGAGACAGGGTGGCCTCAGGATACTTTTCCTGGACCAAGGCCAGGAACCTGCAGAGAATCAGAGACACCGGTTTTTTAGAGCCTCGCTGGGTTCCTTCTCCTGGGTTCCCATCACTGTGCCTGGCCTATTGAGTCTATAATGACAGAAGCAGAGCCCTAAAAAGCAGAAGTGGCTTGTTTAAGGTCCCACGAATAGAGCATGAATTTTGGAATCAATGGGATCTGGGTTCAGGTCCTGACTCTGACCTTGGGCAGCTCATTCTACCTCTGATTCTCAAAGTTGGCATTCCTGGGAGTTTGTCAGGATGGCCAAATGGTCTAAGGTGCCAGACTCAAAGTAGGCATTCCTGGGGGTGGGAGGTGGCAGGGCCTCTTCAGTATCCCCACAGGGGCAGGCGCAATGAAATCCAGAGCCTGGGGGGTAAGGGTCTGGGCTGCCTGCTGTGAGAGTCTTTGAAGCTTCAGATTTTACTTTAAAATTTCATTCATATTTTGCCCTGATACAAATTTTAGTAGGCAAAGAATGTTCCTGTCTCCTTCTCCCCAAACTATTGAGTAAAATCAATACTACCAGAATACTCCCATATTTATCTTGTGCCACTGACTATATTTTTCAAATTGCTGTTTTCTAAATGCACCTCAGTTTGAGAATCACAAAAATTTGATGGATGGATTATTGGCTGATTGGATGGACAGATGGATGGATGGAGAGACGGATGGTAAAGAGTGTGAGGCTTAGCGTCAAAGCCTGGCTTTGAATCTTGCTCTGCCAATTCCTAGACTTAGGCAGGTCGTTTAACTTCAATGAGATAGTTCCTGTACTAATAAAATCTTCATTTTGTAATACTACCTACCTCATTCACATTGTTAAGAGTTAAATGGTATTCTACAATTAAAGTACTAAAAATAGTGCCTGGGGCACATAATAAACATTCAATAAATTAAGCCTCAATTGTTGTCAGCTTCCTTATCTGCAAAATGGGGAGAAAAGACTGCTAACCTAGCAATGCTACGTAAGAGTCACATCAGATATGTTCTCTCCTTTTATGCTGCCCTTCTTTGTAAACTGTAGAGCAGCATGCGCCTGGTATATGTGAGGGCTGTTGGTGGCAGTGCTGGGATTTCATGGGGGCTGGGCAAGGAGTCAACATTTTTCTGGTAGGCCAAGCTGTGCCCTGGTCCCTAGGGATACAGGGTAACCCCCAATGAAATCAGGGCTGTGTTAGGAGGAAGTGTGGATATCACCCTAGGATGTTGGGGCAGTTTTTGGAGGAGGCAGTAACTGGGCAAATGTTCATCAGGAAATGGGGGAGAGGCATTTGAAATGAAGCACAGGGAACAGTCTATGCAAAGGCTCAGAGGTCAGACTATATGTCTGGAGGCAAATGGTGCCCTGAGTCCTTCCCATGGCAGATATCGAAGGAAGAGGGCTGGACACACTTTGGGCAGAGAGGGAAACACTCACTGTGTCGCATTGACTTCGACAGAGATGGGCACGTTAGGGCCCCTCAGGATGTCGGCATTGATCCACACAGGCCTCCGTACTTTCCCATCCAATGTCAGCTGCCGCAGGAGGTCCAAGGAGGGGCCCACGGCCTTGAGACTCTTGAAGTCTAGCTTGATACCTGTGGGGAGGAGGCTGAGGACTTGGGGAACTGGCCCCTTATGCTCAGGGAAGAAGGAACTGGAAGATGTGACCTCCTGGGGCAGAAAGAGCAGGTATGGTGTGTGTGTGTGGGATGGCAGGGGGGAGGGGGGGGAAGTGGGGAGAAAGGGATTGGGAAGGGGAGGAAGAAAGAGTGGGACCAGATTCTGGCTGGATGTGAAGAAGGGCTTTCAAACAGGCAGCACTAACCCAGGGAGGAAGGACCACTGCAGGAGTTAGCTACAACCTCCATCTCTCCTGTGTCTGGGAGATACCACCCACGAGGTGCCCTTTCACACCCCCAATCCCACTGAGAATTCCGAGCCTGGGCTTCTGGAACATGGGGCAGGGAAACCAAGGCGATGAGCAACTCATGACAGGAACTGGACTTGCCTCCCCGCAGAGTGGTCCCTGCGCATCCTGCCCGAGGAGCAGAGCACTGAGGAGCTGGGGAGGGGGTTGAGAGAGGTGCTCACCCTGCTGGGAGGTGGTCAGCACAGCCTCCAGCCACTGCTGCAGGGTGTTGTCGCTGTAGATGGTTGGGGGGTGCGCCATGATGGGGACCCCTGTCTCATTGGCTGTGTTGAGCCCTTCTACGGTGATGTCTGCCTCCAGGACCATGACGTTGCCTGTGCAAGACACAGAACCCTGTCAGTTCTTCATTGTTTTTAAACAGTTGTTATCATCATTTAAAAAATTGTATGTTTATTAGAGAACACTTGGACAATACAGAAAAGCAGGAAGAAAGAAACTGTTCTTTCACATTTTCATCATAGTTCATATTTGGTACAATTTCTTCCTTTTTTGTCAATGTATAGTTTGTGCACAGTGGAAACTACACTGCATTTATAATTTTTAATCTTTTTCTTTCAATATTATGACACATTTTCAAAAACTTTTATATGCTTCATTAAAGAAAAAAAGGCTACAAAAGCCCCAGCTGAGGGTTAATACCATGATTTAGTTACCCCTTCCTATTTCTGAGACATAATGATGCATATTTTATCCTGATTTTCTGATAACTTCTGATCCCTACTTGTGGAACTTGAGTCAGGGCAATACAGGATCATTTTAAACCCATACGATCAAATTACTATCCAGAAAACGTGTTGTGCGTCATGTTCCCACCTGAAGTGCATAAGCTGGTCCATCTCCCTGCACCTGACTGCCCTGAGCATGGTCACTTTTGTCTTTCAAATTCCTGCTGTTAACTCAGTCAGGTGGACGTCACCTGATATGAGCGTCAAGAAGGGTTGTTGAATAATAAAGGCCATACATGGCAAACCCTTGGCTAACATACTCAATGAGGAACACTGAAAGCTTTTCTTCTTAAGGTTGGGAATAAGACAAGGGTGCCCCGTCTCACCAATATTATTGAACATAGTACTGGAAGTCCTAGCCAGAACCATCAAGCAAGAAAAAGAAAAGGCATCCAAATTGGGAATGCAGAAGTAAAACTGTCACTATTTGCAAATGACATCATTCGACATGTGTAAAACCTTGACATTATCAGAAGACTGTTAGAAACAATAAATATAGTAAAGTCGCAGGTTACAAAATCAACATACAAAAATCTGTTGTGTTCCTATATACTAACAATGAAATGTCAGAGGAGTAATGAAGAAAACAACCCCACTTATAATTGCAACAGAAGGATAAAATACCTAGGAATAAACTTAACAAAGGAAGTGAAAGACCTGTACACTGAAAAAAAGACATTGTTGAAAGAAATTGAAGCCCTGGCTGGTGTGGCTCAGTGGATTGAGTGCCAGCCTGCAAACTGAAAGGTGGCTGGTTTGATTCCCAGTCAGGGCACGTGCCTGGGTTGTGGGCCTGGTCCCCAGTTGGGGGCGTGTGAGAGGCAACCTATTGATGTACCTCTCACACATAAATGTTTCTCTCCCTTTCTTTCTCCCTCCCTTCCCTTCTCTCTAAAAGTAAATAAATAAAATATTAAGAAAAGAAATAGAAGACACAAAGAAATGGAAAGATATTTCATGTTCACAGATCAAAAGAATTAATATAGTATAATGGCCATCTTACCTAAAAGCAATATTAGGTTTAATGCAATCCCTACCAAAATCCCAATGCTGTTTTTTACAAAAATTCCTCAAATTTGTGTGAAACCACAAAAGACCCCAAATAGCCAGAGCTAGCCTGAGAAAAAAGATCAAAGTTGAAAGTATCACACTCCCTGACTTTAAACTATACTACAAAGATACAATAATTAAAATAGTATAGGATTGGCACAGAAACAAACACACAGACCAATAGAACAGAATTGAGCGCAGAAATAAATCACACAAATATGGGCAACCAATTTTTGACAGAAGAACTAAGAATATATATACACTGAAGAAAGGAAAGTCTCTTCAACAAATGGTATTGGGGAAACTGAGCAGCCACCTGGAAAAGGATGACACTACACTGCTATCTGACACCATACATAAAAATTAACTAAAAATGAATTAAAGACTGAAATGTAAGACCTGAAACAATAAAATACACATAAGAGCCCTGACTTGTGTGGCTCAGTGGGTTGGGCATCGTCCCACAGACCAAGAGGTCACTGGTTTGATTTCTTGTCAGGGCACATGCCTGGGTTGTGGGCCGGGTCCCTGGCTGGGTGTCTGTAAGAGGCAGCTGACCAATATTTCTCTCCTTTGCTGTCTCCCATCCTTCCCCTCTCTAAAAATAAATAAAATATTAAAAAAAAAAACAATTAAGACCAAAAAGTAGTGTTGGAGAAGATGTGGAGAAAAGGGCTTTATGAGGATAGCCATTTTTTGTATAGCTTAAACACAGAGTCCTTTTTTATCATAACTTTTGGTTCCCTGGGAATACAGAGAGAGGTCCAAAGAGTTGGTCCCCAATGAGGCCCAGAGAAGCCAGGCCCAACCGGCGGCTGGGCAGATACAATGGTACTCAAGAAAATGGATGCTCAGTAGTCTCCTACCCCACCTAACCGGCCAGTTCTTGTCTGGAAGAGGTGGGGAGCATCAAGAGGGACCAGGAATGGAGCCAGGTCTCTGAGTCCTGGGACCCTCTGATGTTACTGCCTCCTTGATTTGCCGTAACTGCTTGCCATGAGCCACCGTGAGCCCCTTGAACACAGGGCCACATCTTACTTCTAAACCTCCCTTCTGATACTGGCCCAGGACAGGGACCCAGCAAACACTCAGCACTTTAAACTAAAAACTGGAGAGTGCATTCTGGACCTAACCTGCCTCCTTGTGATTGCCGCCTGGGTCCAGCTTCTTCCTGGAAAAATTCACTCCCTTATCATTAAAGCTGTTATTTGTCCTTCAGATGCTGAATCTGGGGGCCCCACTTGCTTGAGTGGGGTATGAAGAAGGAACAGGAAATGAGGGAAGCATTAGGTCCCTACAGCCACAGCAGGAGTCCTGGTCATCTGGAGCACAATTAGGAAGGAGGAAGTGCTGCTCCTTCCTAAGGGGGAATAGGCAGGAAGTTACCAATTCCCCCCTAACCCTCTCCCACACACCAGCACTTCCAGGGGTTAGAACATTGTGGCTGAGTGTGCATACCTTGAACACATTCTGCTATCTTCCAGTCCCAGTGCAGCCCACTTGCAAGCTGTGTGACCTTGGACAGGTTACTTGACCTCTCTGTGTCTCATTCTCATTTACTAGAATTAAATAATAAAATATCCTCAGTTAGGCATTCACTGAGTGTTAATTATTACTTACATGGAGTAACTCACTTAACTAGGGTGACCATATGTCCTTGTTTGCCCTGGATGATCTGGTATATTTCTGTTATCTCTGCATAATTATTAATCATGATCTCTTCTATTACAAAAAGTGCCCTGGGGGGGGGGGCGGGAAATACAATAACAAGTAAATTGTTAAAAAAAAAAGTGCTCTGGTTGAAATGATAAGTGATAGTCACCCTACCAAGCCCCATTTCACAGAGGAAAAAACTGAGCTGCAGACAGGTGAAGCCACTTGTTCCAAATGACTTGGCTGGTAAAGGGCCACGGTAAAATTTGAACCCAGCTGTCTGTCCCCCAGGCCTCACTCTGCGCCTCCTCTCCACATGGCTGTTCAGTCATGTCTCAGATGACTTCACAAGTTCAGCCCTACCACTGGTTCCCTATCAGGGTCCCCCCGCCCCAAAATGTGGCATCACCCTCCTCCCAAGGGCCTACCCAAGGACCTGGCAGAGCTGCCAGGAAGAAACCAGGCCTGAGGTCCTCGCTGGACCCCTGAAGCTATGCCCAGGG